TGGTGGAGCGTCGTCATTTCTTCTGATGGGTCTTTTTCGGGGAGGCATCTTGTTCTAAAAAGAATTTGGAAGAAGAGGGTGGTAAGTCCTCTGAACCGAACCAAGAGATATGAAGCAAGAATATATATCATCCTGATAATAGAGTGTTCTACCAAGCGATAAGTAAAGGAAAGTTACTAATGCAAGTAAGTTATCGCTAAGAAACGAATAGGTAGCAACACTAGGAATGAATTTCTACAATGTATTCGGCTTTGACTAAAATACTCCTATAGTATTTTAAGTTGTATGGATGTCGGGTAAGTTTTAGGCCTGTTGCAACACCAAAGTCACTCCCAAGCACATGTTGGTCATGTCTCAAATGAATATAGTTGATCAGGCTATATTGACCCTAGACATGATTACATAACTGCCCAGGTTTAACCGCAATGTTCAACATCCAGAATACTTTCGTTTTGTTCTACCCATGATACGGATTCTGGTACTCGGGTATACTTGTATATTCTTTGTAGAAATACTTATATTTTAAAAGTTCAACATCCATAATATTTTAAAAGTATACTTTTAGTTCAGAGCATTCAGCCCCTTAGTGTTTATAGTTGTATACCATGTAAGGTTCGGTATACTTAGTTCACTATAAACAATAGCTCTGATACCAATCTGTCACACCCCGAAACCGATGGCGGAAACGTTCCGGGGCGGAGGACGTCATGCGTAGTATCACGATAGTTGTATCATAGTAAGCGAAGTAAACACAACCATTACATTATAATATGAATATTTACATTGTTCAAAAACATGATTTATACATAACAGTATTTAGCAAAAAGTAAAAGACGTGACTTCAGAATGTTCCGTCTTCTCCAAAAGTTGGCAGGAGTACTTGTCTATTGATGCCCTGGGAATACAAGCAGTTTTAAAATATATCAGCATAAAGCTGGTGAGTTCATAAGCGTTTAATTCTGGTGAAAGAAATGTTTCTTTGATTCTTTGAAAAGTTGTTTCCCAAGAAAACCCGACATTTTCTTATGAAAGAGGTTTGATTATCCATTAGTTATGCGATAAACAGCCTGTTTATGAAAGGTTAAGTTATCCCAGGAAAACCCTATATTTTCCTTAAAAGTTGATAGTTGATTTTCGATTCTGATACGAGGTGTACAAGTATCTACCATACTTGTATCGATAGATGTAGTTTCCTTGAAAAACCCTGGTTATTCGCTGTAAGATGTATTATCCTTATTACATAAATAAAACTAATAAAATAGGTAGTGAACTAGATTCTAAGGGCGTTACTGATGCCCTCTAGTAATCAAATCGGTTATTACTTTGAGGTTAGTTCACTAGTTTCATTATTATGTAAGTAAATTTTCGTTACCTAAGTTGTGAGTGCCATAACCGTACTTAGACTAGATAAGGCACGAACGGGGGCCAGTATCTTTTTTGACTTTGTCACCCCTGAACCTAACGGTTCCGTTGTAGCTAGCAGCGAGGGTGCGGGATAGTCAGTCCCATATAGATCTATACACAATAGTCACGTTCTCCCTCCAAGAGATTCTGGTTATAAGTAATAGTATGAAAATCCTGTTTAAGATTTACATGAATCCTTTATAAGATAATACATATTATAACATGATTCACAAGTTTCTTGCTTTAGATTTGAAAACTGTTTCTACAAGTTGATTTCTTTAATCGATTGGTAAAACGGTTTTCTGAGTTAAAAGCATACTGAACATAAAATCATTTTATTGCAAAATGAGGTAATTTGAGCACAAGTTTCCTCGTACTTTTGCTTGTATTCCCCCCCTGAAAACATGGAAAACTCGGAAAAAGCGTAGGGGTATGAACTCACTGTTTATCGTAGGATCCGAAAGCACAATTGGTTACGAGTGTTGAGTGTCAACCGATGTTTCGCATGCAAGTGGATCCTATTAGCATGTGATAACACATATGTGTGTTAGAATTAGGGTGTTTCATGACTAAACATGACGGAAAATGACCCTAAAGACTTGGAAATGCTTGTCGGGACCCTATATGATCAAATAAGGGAGGTGTACGGCCAGGGTGCGCGGCCAGGCTGTGTGTGCGGTTGCACACAGGAGTGTGCGGCCGTACAGAGGGTGTGTGCGGTCGTACACAGGAGTGTGCGGCCGTACACTCCTCATTTGTGCCCGAAATGTCGATTTTGAGGTGTTCTTGTGCTAATACCAAGTCCAACTAGTAAATGGAGGCCAAACTCTTCACTTTTGAGAGTCTTTAAGGTGTGTGCGGCCACCTTATGAAGGTGTGCGGCCGTACACCTTTAAGGTGTGTGCGGCCACCTTACGGGGGAGTGTACGGCTGGAGGGTGGGTGTGCGGCCGCACACCCATGTGTGCAGTCGTACACACCTCTCAGGAGGGTGTATGGCCCGGTTTTGTCTCTATACGACTTGTTGACTCATTTCTAATCTCATTCCCGACTGTACTCAAGCTTAGAACAGTTAAAATAACCCTTAAACGGTGTTAAAAGATGATAAAAATTGAGTTTAATATTGATATAAAGATCAATTGTACAGGATAAAAGTTTCGGGTTGTCACAACCGTGATGTGGCCTTTGCTTTGCGCATGGTCAATCATTATTAGGGATATCCAGGTAGAGCTCATTGGATAGCAGTTAACAATATTCTCAAGTATTTGCGAAGGACTAAGGACTGGGTCCTAGTACTTGGTGGCAGTGATACACTGAAAGTAAATGGGTATAGTGACGCCAGCTTTCAAACAGACCGAGACAACTTCCGTTCTCAATCTAGCTGGGTATGTGCCTTAAATGGAGGAGCGGTAACTTGGAAAAGTTCCAAACAAGATACAATGGTCGATTCTACCTGTGAATCAGAGTACATAGCAGCAAGCGAAGCATCAAAGGAGGAAATTTGGTTGAAGAACTTCATCAGAGACCTTACAGTTGTTCCATCCATTAAGGAGTCAATGGAAATTTTCTATGATAACGAAGGAGCGGTTGCCTTGACAAAGGAACCAAGAGATCATGGAAAATCAAGACATGTCGATAAAAAATACCATTTCATCAGACATAGACTAGAACAAGGTCACCTCGTAGTGAAGAGGTTATCATCAGAAGAGAATCCTGCAAATCCCCTCACAAAGGGTCTGAGTAGGGTTAAACACGTTCAACATGCTATGGGCATTGGTCTGGAAGATGATATTAGTTTTAGTAGTTAGATAATTAGTTGAAACTTGTAACAAACTAAATGTAATTAACTTTCGGTGATTAAATAATAGAAAAGTATTTATGAGTTTGTTTACTACTTTTTATCAATTGTTTATTATTGTGTTTTCTTTTTGCATGTTTTACTTCCTAGATAATTCGATTATTCATATTCTACAGTCGTTCGTACTTTTGGAAGTAAGTAGTGAATTAAGACTGTCATGAATTAGATTGTGGATTGCCTAAATGGTTTTAGACATAACAAAAGTATTGTTGCAATGTTCATGAGTACTTTGAAATGGTGATTTAAGTATTGGATTAACCCATGCTCAGAGAATTATTTCATGGAATTTATCACGAGTAATTCTGAGACGATAATATCTTATAATCTTGAAACAGGGATATACGAGTTGTGGTTTACAAGTCAGTTGTGCATTGATGATATGTAAACGCATCAGTAACATGATGTTATAAAACGTAATGTTATGCATGATTTGATGAGTAAATTGTGCAAGAATATAAGTCAAAGTTTATTCGTTCCTTTTGCCTTAACGGGAAAAACAATATCTTTGGGCCCCTCGGTGATTTGGTGTTGGCTTAGAGTGTCAGGCCGGGCCATGACTAAATTGATGTGTTCGATTAGAAGTTCTATATCATTACAAATCAGAAATCGGGAAACAAAGTATTGCACAATGAGATTGATTATGTTCCTTGTCTCATGTCCAGATGATATCTTGTAGAACGGAGGATTATATGATCACTTATCTAGGACACGTAACTGACTGGGTCAGATTTCGACAGCGACTTTTGGAAGCTAAAATTTGTTGATCAGTTTAGAAGTAATACTGGCAATTATAGTTATTAGACTTATCCAAGGTGGAGACTATTGGATTAGGTGTCTAAGCCCATAAATATAATTGGTATATACTTGAATTGATAGTAGCATAGTCCTTTTGGTTGCCCTCAAACCTAGCAACTGGACAGGATGATTTTGGAGAGAGAGAGGTTGATTTATTATTTGAGTAATAAATTGAAATAAATGATTTATTAATGTATTATGAAAATAATATATGAATTAGAAATCATATTGTTTAATTAATAATTGATCAAAAATTAATCAGGATTAATTTTAGGATTAATTGGATTAATGAAAAGTGCAGGTCTGTTTGGTTATTTATTGAAAGTTGAAGTAAGAAGGCCCAAGGATCTCACTGGATGTGGTGGATGAAAATTACTTGGGCAAGCCCCTTCAATGAGGGGAATGGGCTGCTTGGTCACCAAGAAAGGGAATTTAGGGTTTCTCCCTTAAACCCTAGCTTTGGCACCAAGCTACCTTAGCTATATAAAGGACCTACCCTTCATATTTTCAGCACTCCTTCCCTTAAGAAGCCTTGGAAGAATTTGGCTATCCCTTCTCCTCTCTCTATATTCATCCACTTTCTAGCTAGGGTGTGATTCCATTACAGGCACGAAAATTGTGGTGCTTGCTTCCAAGAGATCAACAAGAAGGTGTTCTTAGTTATTTGTTACAATAACAACAAATATATGTAATCTTAAACCCATCTATAGGAAATTTCGATTATACCTAGGGTTAGTGAGTTCTTGTTGTTCAATAGAATGTTACATCAATAGAGTTATGACTTAGATCTTTAGGTTGCATGTACCCTTAAGAGTTAAGGATTTATCCGCGTTAATGCATGTTAAACCCATCAGATACAAACATCAATTCTAGTGAACTAATTATCACTTCGCTTCCTGAGAAGACATCAGTCACACTACCGGAGGTTCCAATTTTCGAGTCCAATGTGGAGGAGGGTAGGACTTCAAACATCCCTAAACTTATCTAAAAAGGACTCAAATGTTGTCATGGATGAAGGGAGTTCGACATCAGCAATAGAGACTACAACTGTTCCACCACCACCACAAATATCCATAATTCCACCAACATCTGTTCCAACTATCTCACCAACATTTCAAGGAGTGATGGCTGAACCAATCACCATGTTGTTCTCTTCGCAATCCACAAAACCAGAGATGTAGACTCATGAAAAAGAATATGAAGATGAAATGGTTGGATTTGCATAGTTAGAGTTCAATCTAGAAGAAGAAAATGGTGATGATAATTCCATCATGTCTGGTAAACTGTACAAGATTCTCAACTTAAAACACAATTCCATTCTTCAATTCTTGAATGATAGTGATGGGAAATATATTGTTAGTGGTAAGGAAGTCAAATTCTTGTTAAAGTCTCAAGAATCACAAATCAGGACTTTGATTGATGGTAATGTTAAGGGTATGGATGAACATTTAGCTACTCATTCTCGAACCTTCCATCACGAAATCGAGAAATTACAGGATGGTAAATTCTTCTAAGACCTCAATCGAGTCAAAGTTGAAGGAACTCAGTGATTTGTTTTCCAAAGAGGTCAAGAAACTTGATACGTTTGTGATGCAATTACAAACAATGTTAATGTTCTGATTGGGGCCACTACTAAATTGATAGAAGATATTACATCTTTCAACAAAGGTTATACTGAAGAAATGAAGCTTAAGAAATTATAAGATTGGAAGGTGTTTGATAAAATTGAGAAGTCTCTCACTAGGTTTCAAGATACACTATTGAAGTTTGATTTTACATCAACAACTTCAATTTCCCAAGAACAAATTTCCTCAATGGTGTCTTCTGTGGAATCGTTCTTTAAGAGTGAGTTGGAAACAATTCTTAATTTGGTCCTTCGTCTCCCAATTAATACTCCACGTCCCATTACGAACATGTCACAAGGGGAGAAAAGTGAGTTGGTTCGTCAAAGGATAGTGGGTAAGATGATTTCTACCCAACTTCCTACTTCTCTACCTATGAAGCCTTTAATGACAACTTCTTCGACAACAACAACTGCTCCAAATATTGGAGTAGACTTATCCAAGTTGCAATAGAAGAAAAGAATAAGTATTCGAGAAGGAGGATCAAGTTCATCAACTGCAAAAACAATTACAACTGCTAATAAAAAAGACAAAGGAAAGGGTATCCACGTGGAACCCTCTGCAGAAGAGAAGAAAAAGCTCCAAGAATTGGAAATTGAAAGACTCAGGAAATTGAATAGTATTATGAGTCAAAGAGAGAATTATCAATCTGGACTAAAAAAATGTGATCCTAACAAATATTGGTGCTATGAAACAATTGAGAGCGCAACGTTTTGTGAAGATGAGAATTTAGTTGTGACGCCAAAGAAGAGATATGACATTGAAGATATAAAGTTCAATTAACTGGACTTCCCAATTAATCATTCGTTATTTGTTTTTCCACAACTCAAGCTTATAGAGAGTTACAAAGATAAATATGAGTTTAAGAATATGAAAATCAGTTTTCATGCGGTACTAGGGAAGAATGAGGATGAAGTTTCGTAATTGGTGAAGATTATCAAGCTTGTGTTGATAACTCCAGATGCTTTGTTTGGAAGAGTTTTACAGAATGTTTGATGCAACATTGTGAGAGCGAACAATATATTATTCGATTTCATCATTGGAAACTTTCCTATGATGAATGTCAATGATCTCATCTCAACTCCGAAGCTAATGGGTGATCTGAACAAATCTCAAATTCTGGACAAGGCCGCATACATTATTGTATATGGGCATATCAAGGCTTTCTTGGATGATTATTTTTATCATCTTGCTCTTTTTGATATTGATATCTCCATCATTTTCAATAAAAGGTCGAAAATTCCAAAGGATTTTTCAAAGGGAAGATGAACAATGAAGATTTTGAAAATGGAGAAATCATACACAAACCACTGGGTGTTGTGTTCCAGGGCAAAGGCAAGAAAGGAGGAAGAAAGAAATTTTTGTTTCGTACAGATGACGTAGAAAGATATTCGAACCAACATCTTTCTAGTGTATTGCTTCACATGAACAACTGTCAGAAGAATCAGAATGAAGACAGAGCGGAGATCAGGGAAATCATCTTATGGTACATGGAGATTCGCAATGTATTGCTATAAACTATAAATATAATACCCTCTGTTTGAAGATTTGTCACTGATCACAAAGGGGAAGAATGTAGAGTCAAAATATGTTGTGATATGATGAACCTTAGGCAGTGTATTAGTTATCGAATAGTCTGTAAATAGAGAAGGTTAGCAAGACTTTGTTATGTAATGTATTTATTAGGCACTTGAGTGATTCGTAATGTAATGTTGATTCCTAGTACTTTTTTGTTTCCGTGAGTACCATATAAATAGGGTAAGCACAATAGAGGATTGTTAACTTTTGGGCATTTGTACGCTTTGAGCTTTCTCTCACTGTGACTCTCTTGTACTCATTCCAGAAAGTAATTGAGCCGAAACCAGATCTTATTTACATCATTGAGTTCAATCTTACTCTAATTTTAATTATTATTGATTAAAACATAATCCAAACTCCCTTTCAGGTAACAAGGCTTAACTAATGCATTTTGAGGTAGTGGTCTTGGGTTTAGCTCATATTGGGATTACGCTTCCAACTGGAATTTTATGCATTTTGGTAAGTAGATGGCTTGTTGCAGTAGTTTTGGAATTTACATACGGCATTTACATGTTATGCATCTTCTTGGAGGATAGGACACATATCTGTGGGGTGTCCCTTTATTGAAGATATACCACAAACCATCGCTTGTCGAGTACCTCCCATAGCTAGTTGTTGGACAACAGATGTCAAATTCGCAAGTTTTGATTCTAATATCGATGTTACCACTTCATTGACTTTTTGATGCACATCCTTCTTCATATCTTGGTGTATAACAAAGTGTTGGGAGTTGGCGGACACGGTGTTGAAAAGTTGTCTTGTTTATTGAGGATTTTTACTAAAGACAACTCCACCACTTGAAGAATCAACAAGTCTTCTCTCAATAGGCAACAAACCTTCATAAAAATGTTGAATGAGGAGTTGTTCCGGTATTTGGTGTTGGGGGAAACTCAAACACAAGCTATTGAATCTTTCCAAATAATCATGGAATATTTCATGTTGACCTTGGCAGATTCCATAAATCTCATTTATAAGACTTGAGATTCTAGAAGCTGGATAAAACTTATCAAGGAAATCTTTTGACATGTCGGTCCAAGAATTTATCGACCCCGGTGGAAGATACAACAACAAATCTTTTTCACTTTACGCCAATGAAAAGAGGAATGCCCTTAACTTTATTTGCTCATCAGTTGACCCTTGTGGCTTCATACTTGTGCAAATGATATGGAACATATTCAAGTGCTTGTGAGGGTATTCATTTTCTAGTCCACAAAAAGTTAGAAGATGATGAACTAAGCATGGATTGAATACCGAGCCTCCTTTGAAAATGGGATAATTAATACCGGTTTAGGTTTGTGTGACATTGGTCTTCATAATTTGTCACAAGTTTCACTCGGAGGCTTTGTCTCCCATGTCTATTGGAATTTCATTTATGATGGGTGGATTGGGTGGTATGTATGGATTGTTTTGGATTTGATCGATGGGTGGTGCTTTGGGAATTTCTTAGCGAGGATTGGGAGTTGATTCGGGTTCCACTTTGGTTTTGGTATCACTAGAGGAAATGGTTTCAACATCCAGATCCACGTTAGTTTGAGAAGTTTGACCACATTCTAGTCTCCTTTACTTTGTCAATCGCCTTGCTTCTTTTTTAATTTTATAATTGTAAATTATAGTACCTGTACGATGAGATATGAGCATAGAGAAACAAACTAATTAAATATAAACCAATCCCTGACAATGGCGCCAAAATTTTATGGTTGTCGAGGCCAACAAAATAAATACCCTAAATCTTGAACACTAAAGTAGTGTATAGTGATAAAGGGGTCATATCCACGGAGATTGGTTCAATTTATAACCCTATAAAAATCTTGTTTGTGAAACTAAAATAAAAGTAAATATATGGTTTTAATCTTTTAGTTGTTTAAAGAAAATAAAACTATACTAAGGCTTAGAAATCACAATTCAACAAAAACAAAAGTTTGATGTAAATCTATGAGAGAAACATGGTTGACGTTGGAGTTTCATCACTTGAACATTTGGTAAATAAATCCGTAGAACTCAAGGTGAAATACTTGTAATGAATCTCTAATTTTGCTATATTTGTAACGCTCATTTTAGTTATCTATTTCTTTTAAGAATTTAAGGATTTTGGACTGGAACTCGACGAGTTGGGGAGCTCCAACTCGTCGAGTAGAGATCATTGTGGGATGCGGGATTTAGGACCTACTCGACTAGTTGGAAGGCCCAACTCGACGAGTAGGCGCTGTGAATGAAAACCCTAAATTTTAGGGTTTGCACCCTATATAATCTCCTTAGAACCTTGAGGCTGACCTTTCATCAGCCTCTAAACCCTAAGAATGTCAGTGCTAAACCCTAATCCCCATTTTTCACATATTGTGAGCTAGAGTGACTTTTGGAGCTTAAGAAGAGGAAGATAGTGAGAAGAAGGAGGAGATCCAGGAAACAAAGCCCTTACCCTTGAGCTTGACCATCTTGTGGACTATTTTAAGCATTCAAGATTCGATTTTTATCTTAGAATATGACTAGATCTTGAGTTTACTCTTTATTTCCCATCATTCTTGTTGATTTCAAGCATGGGGTTCATAAAGTTTGCAACTTTATGAATCTCCACGTCAAAATGGTCCAATGGTGGGCTAGATCTAGCTTTTGGTCAAGCATGGATGCCATGCATGGATTTTAGGGTATATATTCCCTTTTTGGCCATTTTGACTTCAAGACATGCATTGGACATGCATGTCCATAAAGCCTACATCGTTGGAACGTTTTGAAGATTAGACCCTCTTTTGGAAAGGAGGGATTCCAGATCCCTAGAGTCTTGAACCACATGGCTAAGCGTTTGAACTTTCAAACCTTTATTAAGGGCCTTAGAGCATTCAGAGTGGTTCTAGAGGATAAAGTTGGAAACTTTATCCTTCTAGACACCTTTAGGTTTCAGATCTAAGCCCTAGAGTCCCTATAATCAATGTATGATCTGAATAACCAAACAGGGGGAAAACTCGACGAGTTTCCCTGGCAACTCGACGAGTTGGGTCGGGTTTCCCCGTCTACTGGATATTGAGTGAACTCGCCGAGTTGACGAGACAACTCGACGAGTTGGCTAGGATTTGTCCCATTTTTCTGGACTCTGAAAGAACTCGACGAGTTGCTAGACGCACTCGACGAGTTGGGGTCAACATGGACTGTTGACCTTAACTGTTGACTCAGACATTGACCAGGGTTGACCAAGTTTGACTTTGAGGGTATTTATGGTATTTTGGGATTGTGACAAGCTAATCACATGATGGTTAGAGGCAGTTGCATTGGAGCTGCACGGAGTTATCTGATCCTACCTTATCAGTTCTATATTCTTGAGA